TGTACAGGTACTCTACCTGGAGGAATTGCTGACTCATTGTTTATCCTAATAATCAGAGCAGTCTTCTCAATGGTGAGAATTATACAAATAGAAAAGACTATAAGATGAAGTTATCATTAACTTTGGCAGAAGTTATTAATGATACTACCTAATCTCTAGAAGGAATAGAAATCAGTCTCAACTCATTGGCATGAGCAGTGGTGGACAATTGCATTGCTCTTGATCTCTTGTTTGCTAGTCATGGTGGTGTCTGTGACTGAATATTCAAACAGACAATGGGCAGATGATATATAACAATAGAACTTGACCCACAATCTCTGCAGCAGTCAGTCCAGGAAGCCAAACCATAACCTCTGCAACAATCAACCCAGGATTGTCCTGATTTGGTCATGTTTGCCAGCTTCCCTATTTTTTGTTCCTCATAACCAACCAGAGATCTATATGATTTATATCCCAGTTTAGGTATTTTTACATTTCAAAAATCAGGATATATAAAAAGTATGATTCTTCTCATAGTAGTACTGAAGACGAATCTTCCCCATATTAAAAAAAAACCAGTGTCATAAAAAATAGAAGCAGTTGTGGAAACAAACACTATTGACATGAGAATAAACAGAAATTATTTATTCAGCGTTTGATATAGGAAGGATCATCCACCATCACCTGCATTTGGCGGAGACTCAAAGACAAGAGGGGAGTGGGAAAGGTTTACAAAGTAAATAAAGGGAAGACTTCAGAAATACTCTGATGAGAATTTGGGATGGGGGATCTGGAGGTAGACTAAGCAGAAGTAGAGCATCTTATGGCTTGGGGATCATACCTGGCTCACATGTGGACTGCCCAGAGAAGCTAAACAAATAGCTTTCTTGAGGTATAATCGACATACAACAAACTTCACATATTTAAAGCATATATATCACCTGTGTTATAGACACACATACTCATGAAACCATTTTCTACATATCCAACATCCTCTAAAGTTCTCTTCTTCCTTTAAGTCTCTCTCCTGCTTCCTCTCTGCTTCCTTTCTATTATCAAGCATCCAGTGGTCTGTTTTCTGTTACTACATTAACTTTCATTTTCTAGAGACTCATAAATGGACTCACACAGTATATACCCTTTTTAAAATTTGTTTGGCTTCTTTCACTCAGCATAATTATTTTATTAAATGAGTTTTGTTAAAATTTTGCTAAGAATTTTTGCATCTATAATCATGAGGGATATTCGTCTGTAGTTTTCTTGTAAACTTCTCTCTGATTTAGATATCAGGATAATGCTGGCCTCATAGAGTGAGTTGGAAATTATTCCCTCCTCTTCAACTCTTCAACTTTTTTGAAAGAGTTTCTGTAGAATTGGTAATATTTCTTCCCCAAATGTTTGATAGACTTCACCAGTAAAGCCAACTGGACCTGTACCTTTCTTTGTGAGAAGGTTTCTTTTTTTTTTTAATTGCAACTTTAACTTCTTTAATAGATATAGGACTATTTAGGTTATCCATTTTTCCTTGAGAAAGTCTGGTAATTTATGTCTTTCAAGGAATTTGTCCATTTTTTCCTATGATGTTGAATTTATTATATAGGATTGTTCAAAATATTACATTATTCTTTTAGTATCTGTAGAATCTGTCACCTCTCTCATTTCCAATATTGGTAATTTATATGTAATTTTCCCCTGATCAATTTGTTTATAGGTTCATCAATTTAATTAATCATCTCAAAGATTCAGCTGTTAGTTTCATTGGTTTTCTCTATTGTTTTTTGCTTTACTATTTTATTGATTCAGCTTTAATCTTTATTATTTCTTTCCTCCTTGGATTTAACCATTGTGGTCAGAGAACATAGCTAGTATAACTTGAATCCTTCCGGATTTATTGAAACTTGCCTTATGGTCCAGATTATTGTCCATCTTGCTAAAAATTCTGTATACATATGATAAGCATTTGTATTCTGCTGGTTGTTGGAGTAGTATTCTATGTATGTAATCAGGTCAATATGGCTGATAATGTTTTTCAAGCCTATTATAACCTTGCTGATTTTCTACCTACTTATATTATAGGTTATTCAGGGAGGGGGATTGAAATTTCTGACTATAATTGTGGACTTTATTTCACATTGCAGTTCTATCAGTTTTTGCTTCATTTATTTTGAAGCTCTCTTATTAGGTGCATAAATGTTTAGAATTGTTGTATACTTTTGATTTAATGGCCCCTTTACCATCATGAAATGATCTTATTTACCCCTGGTAATATTCTTTGCTCTGAAATCTACTTCATCAAATATTGATAAAGCCACTCCAGCTTTCTTTTGATTAGTGTTAGCATGATATATCTTTTCCCATCCTTGTACATTAAACTTACTTGTGTTTTTATATTATTGATAAATGTGTGTCTCTTTTTATAGGCAGCAATTAAAAAAATCTAATCTGACAATCTCTGCCTTTTAATCGAGGTGATTAGACTATTTGCATTTAATGTAATAATTGAGTTGTATCTATCACCTTGCTGTTTTTTTCTATTTCTCTCATCTGTTATTTGTTTCCGTTTTTTGCACTTTTCTGCCTACTTTTAATCAACTATTTGTTATTATCTCTTTTATAATATCTCTTTTTATACATATCATCTCTTTTAGCTGTAATTCTTACTACTTTAGTGATAGCTTTAGGGTTTATAGAATACATCTTTAACTTGTTACAGTCTAACTTCAGGTGATTTTATAACACATCAGAATAGTATAAGAGCCTACAACAATATATTTCCTCTGGACTTTATGTTATTGTTGCCATGCATTTTGCCTTTACATATATTATAAACATCACAATACATTTTTATTATACTTGTTTAAGTAGTCAACTATCTTTTAAAGAGATTTAAATAATAAGACAAATAATCTTATATACTTACTCCTGTAGCTATTTCCAGTGCTTGTCATTGTGTAGATCCAGATTTCCATCTGGTATCATTTTCCTTCTGCCTGAAGTACCTACTTTAACATTCCTCATAGTGGGGGTCTGCTGGTGATAAATTTTATCAGTTGTGTGTGGAAGCATATTTATTTCATCCTCATCTTTAAAATATATTTTTGACAGATATAGAATTCTAGGTTGACAGGTATTTTTCTTTTAATACATTAAGGATGTTTTACTCTCTTCTTGCTTGCAATAGTTCTGATGAGAAATATGATGTTATCCTTATTTTTGTTCCTCTGTAATGTCTTCCCTCTGGCTGCTTTTCAGAGTTTTTTCTTTATCACTGAATTTGGTTATTATGTACCTTGATGTAATGTTCTTCATGTTTCTCGTGTTTGGATTTTGTTGAGCTTCTGGAAGGCAGGTTGGTGGGCAACGATGCTGATAGGAGGATTGAATTAGTGATGAGAGCTTATGGATGTTCTCTTCAGATTGCTTCAGTGTTGTCAATGAAGTAGGGAGCAAGGTCACTGGCTGAGACTGAGGACAGAGGAAGAGATGTTGAGCATGAGAGAAGGTATAAAGCTGTCATTTGGGAGGGTAGGAGAATTAATAGAGCAGGGAACGGTACTGTGGTCTTCAGTCATTTTTAAAGGCCCGCTTAAAATTAGTTATCATGAATTTAAAGTCAGCATGGCTGAGTGTTTTTCTCCTTCCAGTTTTATCTGGAAGGGTTCAGGCACTTAGTAAATACAGTGTTGAAATGGCCAGGTTTGTGGTTTTGCCAAGTTTACAGTAACTCAGAGAGGGGCAGGGAGTTGAAGATGTATGCAGGGGATGATTATATTGACTGACCGTTGAATATAACTACATCAAACTTCCTCAATCAGAGTGGAAAGAAACTATTAGAAGGCAGTTCTTTGCATCTAGAAGGTGTTGAATGTGTATTTGCTGGCCCATGTATGGGTATGTCTTAACAGTAGAAAACCAGGACCTGAAGGAGGTTGTATTATTGGACCAAATTAACTCTGTTTTCCAGTGAAATGGTCTGTGAAGATCTTAACATGGGATACGCAACTTTGCCTGTCTTGGCTCCGCCCAATTAGGTCAGCCTTCCTTACACCAACACCAGAGGTACTGGACTTCTTCCACTCCCTTGCACTTGCCACACACCTTTGCATATGTGGCTTCCTCTGCAGGAAGGCTTTACCTGTCCCTGGTAATTTACTCATCCTTGCTTTTCAGCTTTCCTAGTAATTCAGATATCCCTGTAAGTTTAGTATCTAGTTAGTATGACTAATTGTTAGCACTTGTCAGAGTTTTAATTTGACATTTGTATTGTTGGTAACTGTTTGCTATTACACAGTAAGCTTCCTGAGGACAGGGACTTCGCCTGTTTTAAGAGTCCGCTGAATATAACATAGTCTCCGGCACATTGGTAGGTAGTAATAAATATTTTTTAAAATTTTTTTTATTTTTTTTTTAAGAAGATGTTGGGGGTAGGAGTTTATTAATTAATTAATTAATTTTGCTGTGTTGGGTCTTCGTTTCTGTGCGAGGGCTTTCTCTAGTTGTGGCAAGCGGGGGCCACTCTTCATCGCGGTGTGCGGGCCTCTCACTATCGCGGCCTCTCTTGTTGTGGAGCACAGGCTCCAGACGCGCAGGCTCAGTAGTTGTGGCTCACAGGCCTAGTTGCTCCGCGGCATGTGGGATCCTCCCAGACCAGGGCTCGAACCTGTGTCCCTTGCATTAGCAGGCAGATTCTCAACCACTGCGCCACCAGAGAAGCCCAGTAATAAATATTTTTGAATAAAAATATCTTCACAGAGGTGAAAGCAAGTGTGACATGTGAAGTTTGGTGTGGGGAGCAACATCTTGCTTTCCGAGAATTCACAAGAACCTGGCTAATGGTACACGCCTATCCTCCAAAGCTATGCCCGGAACCCTGCCGACCGGGGGGGCCAAGGGAAGACACGCAAGAGCATTTTTATCTCATAGCGTAAGCCAGATCTTGGGAGGCGCCTGCGCACTGGCCTCGGCGGATGTACGCAAGGGAATGGGGCGGGGCTCCGGTAACCTCGGCAACATCCCGGAAGCGGCGGGCTGTGTTAACTTGTGTCCGGCCGGGCGATTCCGGAGCCTGGAGTTTTAGTCGTGGTGGAGGCAGCAGTCAGGAAACTGCAAGGCAGGTTGCGATGACGGGGCGGAGGCCTGCAGCCCGCCCCACAGAATCTTAGGGACAGGGGCTACAGGGCGGGGCGAACGGTCGTGGCGTCTTCCTCTCTGTTCCCTGGGGATCCAGGCGCCTGGGTTGAGGATCCTTACTACAGAAAGTGCACCCGCGACTCCATGTGTTTTGCGAGTGTGTGTGCGTGTCAGGATGCCTGTCTGGGTGTGTTTGTGTTTAGCGCGCTCTCCCAGGAGCATCCTGAGTGTGCGCGTGCGCACCGCTTTCGGGCACTTTTGCGCAGAGCTAGAAATTGGGGTACCCTAATGTAGTTTTCAAGGAATTTCCGGTCTCATGGGAGAGAGACAAACTACCCGGGGTACTTGGGGACAGGGAGGGTCATTTAAGTCGATTTGAAGGTTAGGAAAGGGTTTATCAGGAAGGCCCGCCTGAAAGTTTTGAAGAGTGAGTGGGAGTTAACCCCGTGGAAAAGGGAGTGGAAGTGTGACGGGTGTTCCAAGCAGAGCGTAAGGAACGGCTGGAACTGTATGGGAAGGCGAGAGCTTTGTTTTAGGATGTGTGGGAGATGTGAGAGGAGAAATGACTGCAAAGAAAGGTCAGCTGGGTCGCACGGAGCGGAGAGATTGTCGGAGTGCCGAGCTAAGCTGGATTCCTCTCTGCAGGGGAGCGCTGTTAAAATCGTTTGAGGAAGGAAGTAAAGTTTTGAGAGCTATCCTCTATCCATATATCTGGGTAGGAGTGATTGGAGGGATAGTGTTTGGAAAGAGGTCTTGTTTCCCTTTGATCAATTTTCCACTAGCCAGAGTGGTTTTACTAAATCCCATCGTAACTGACCTTGCTTAAAACACTTCAGTGGCTTCCTATAGGTCTTTAGGTTAGTGTTCAAATTGCTGTGGCTCACAAGGCCATTATCTGGCCTCTGCCTTTCTTTTTTATCCTTTTTCTAGCCTTCCTACCCTCTCAAATCTTTGTTAGTCAAACTGAACCTCTCAAACCCTTTGTAAGTGCCCTCCCCCGACCCCGACCTGGAGCATTTTTTCCCCAGCTTCTAACTTTTATTCATAGTTCTGCTCTCAGCTTCAATATTTTTAGGGGAATTAGAGGGAGGAGGTGGCCTTTTCTCACTGTGTAGAGTAAGATAGGTATTTCTATGACACTGAATTTACTTCCAACGTTAGCCTTTTATTGCAATTCCTTATTTAATTGCGGTCGGACAAGCTAAGCTCTTTGAGGGTCCAGAGTTATTCTACTTTCTTGCTGTATCTGGTGCCAAGCTCTTGGCAGGTGCTTTCAAAATACTTGTTGAAATAATAGATGGATGATGAAGTAGGAGAGTGAATGAGTGAAAGGAAGATTAATTAGGGGAAATAATGAGAACCTGGACAAGAACATTCATAGTAGAGATGAAAAAAGGGGGACATGAGAGAGATGTTTGAGGGAAAGAATGAATAGATTCTGGTGTCTGATTAGCTTTGAGACAAGAAGGGAGAGAAGGTGATGCTAAGGTTTTAAACTGGAGCAACTGGAAGAAAGGTAATTCTGTACTTCAGTGTTATGCAGCAGACATTTACTGAGCAAGCCAGTTATATATCAAGAACTAGACATTGGTGGGGAGGGGGCATGGATGCTAAGCTGTATATTGGCCATACTGTATTTGAGATATTTGAGAGATGTGCACAGAAGCCAGTTGGAAATGAGCGTTAGGTGTTTTGAGGAAAGGTGTGCATCCTTGATTTGGGACTAACTTTCACAGTGTATTTGTGTTCCCAGTACGTTGATAGCTTTGCTCAAGAGAGTAGGTGAGATCACTAAGGGAAGATGTGAATTCCCCGCGGTGATCTAGAAAGTAAGCTCCATGAGAGCTGGTGCCATATTAGACTTGTTTACTATCGTATCTCCAGTGCCCGGCCAGTGCCTAGCATGTGGTAGACTCTCAAAAACAATTACTGGACAAAGAGAGAGGGTGTCCAATGGAAAGAAAAGAAGACTGGGATAGAACTGAGTGAAGATCCTTGACTACATAGTATGTGAATATTGTCTTAGCCTGAAAAGGAGAAAAGAATAGGAGAGAAACCAGGAGAAAGAGTGTTATGGAAGCCAAGGGAGGGGCGAGCTTCCAGGAGTGGGCATCTCTAGAGATGGAAAGGGCCTGAGAAATAAGGGACCAATAATTTTAGCAATTAGGAAGCTATTAGTATTTTAGATTTTCTCCCAACGAGCCTAGATTTTCTGGGTTATGCTAATTTTATTATTTGACATCTTGGCACTGTAAACCATCAGACTATCTTTATAGTCTCACATTTCAGCATGTAAACTATAGCTCCCTTATGATACCTGGTTCCTATAAGTGGCACAAAATCCCTTCGTTAGACCACGAAGTCTGATCTTTGGTCAAGAAAAATACGGTCACCTTTACTGGTGATGTTTAAGAGAACACTTTTCCGTGCATAGGTGGTTCCTGTGTTATAAAAGTTTGAAGTATAACTGGGGCTTAGTAAATATAAGTGCTTAAATAGGCCTCTCCTTCATGAAGTTTGTTGGTGAAGGGAAGGTCAGAGATGGGATAGCAGCTTTGTTACACCATTGTGAACTTAACCTTTGCGTACTTCAGATTCAGGGATGGTTTTTCAGAATTGAGGCGGTGGAAAAGTATAATATTTTAAATAACTTGAAATAAAGTATTTTAAGAGTAACATGAGTTCATTGTAGAAAGTTTGGAAAATATAGAACCAACCAAAGATAACTTAATTCTAGTAATGTTTTCTAGAATGTGCTTTATTATAATTAGTCATAATTAGTCAGATCTGATTTTGAGTGTCAGCTCCCAGCTCTGTGCATTATTATTTCTGTGACTTGGAGCAATATCTCAAAAGCACCAGTTTTCTCATTTGGGAAAGGGGGTTAATAATTGTTGCTGACATAATCATTAGTAATCCTTAAGTAGAACTTAGGGTGTGCTAGGCAGGGGTTCTGAGCACCTTGTGCATTTAATTCGTTCCATTTTACAGCTAGTGGCAGAGCTGGGATGTGAACCCAGACAGTCTGGTTTTAGACTGTACTCTTAACTACTATGCTCTAGTGTGTCTCAGGATAGTATGTGCCTCATCGGGTTGTGGGATTAAATGTGAAGCTTTTAGCACAGGTAAGTGCTTTATTAGTATTGTGTGTGTATTAACATCATGAGAATATACTATATGCGCAGTTCTGTATTCTACTTTTCTTTTTTTTTTTTTGCATTATGTGGGCCTCTCACTGTTGTGGCCTCTCCCGTTGCGGAGCACAGGCTCCGGACGCGCAGGCTCAGCGGCCATGGCTCACGGGCCCAGCCGCTCCGCAGCATGTGGGATCTTCCCGGCCCGGGGCACGAACCCGTGTCCCCTGCATCGGCAGGCGGACTCTCAACCACTGCGCCACCAGGGAAGCCCCTGTATTCTACTTTTTACACTGAACTTTCTGTGTATTTTCCTACGTTCTTCATAATGTAATTTTAATGAATACATAATTCATCATTTAGATATACTGACATTTTATGATTCCCCTTTGTTTCTGCCAAGTAAATCGAAGATCTAAGTGGTTAAAGAGTAAAATACATAAGAAAGCTTTTTTGAATAACCATTATATTTTTCCATATCTTTTTTTATAACAGCATTGTTGAGATATAACTCACAGACCATAAAATTTAGCCCTTTAAAGTATACAGTTTAGAGTTTTTTAGTATATTTACAGTTTTGCAACCATCACAACTATCTAATTCCAGGACATTTTCATCACCGCCAAAAGAAACCCTGTACCCATTAGCAGTGGCTCTCCATTTCCTCCTCCCCCCAGACCCTCCCAACCACTAATTTACTTTATGTCTTTATGGACTTGCCTATCCTGGACATTTCATATAAATGGAATCATATAATTTATGACCTTTGGTGTCTGGCTTCTTTCTCTTAGCATAATATTTTCAAGGTTCATCCATGTTGTAGCATGTGTCAGTACTTCATTCCTTATTATTGCTAAATAATATTACAGAATATGAATATACAATATTTTATTTATCCCTTCTTCAGTTAGTGGATATTTGGGATGTTTACACTTTTTGTCTATTAAGAATAATGTTGCTATGAACATTCATGTCCAAATTTTTGTGTGGACATAAGTTTTCAATTCTTTCAGCTATATATGTGGGACTAGAATTGCTGAGTCATGTAGTAACTCTGTGTTTAACTTTTTTAGGAACTGCCAAACTGTTTTCCAAAGTGGCTGTGCCATTTCACACTCCCGCTAGTGATATATAGGGATTCCAATTTCTCCACATTCTTGCCAAAGCTTGTTATTTACATCTTTTTGATTATAACCATCCTGGTGGGTGTAAGGTATATCTCATTATGGTTTTGATTTGCGTTTTATGACTGGTGATCTTGAACATCTCTTCACATGTTTATTGGCCATTTGTAGTATCTTCTTTGGGGAAATGTGTATTCAAATCCCTTAGCCATTTTATTTATTTATTTTTTCTTTCTTTTTTAAAAAAAATTTAAAATTTGTTTTTGGCGGCATTAGGTCTTCATTGCTGCGCGTGGGTTTTCTCTAGTTGCACCGAGTAGGGGCTACTCTTCGTTGTGGTGTGCAGGCTTCTCATTGCAGTGGCTTCTCTTGTTGCGGAGCATGGGCTCTAGGCATGCAGGCTTCAGTAGTTGTGGCACATGGGCTCAGTAGTTGTGGCTTGCGCACTCTAGAGTGCAGGCTCAGTAGTTTTGGCGCACAGGCTTAGTTGCTCTATGGCATGTGGGATCTTCCCGGACCAGGGCTCAAACCTGTGTCCCCTGCATTGGCAGGCGGATTCTTAACCACTGTGCCACCAGGGAAGCCCCCTTAGCCATTTTAAAATTGGATTTTTTGTTGTTGAGTTGTAAGAGTTCTTTATATATTCTGGATACAAGTTACTTATTAGATACATGATTTGCAAATGTTTTCTCTCATTCTTTTGGTTGTCTCTTCACTTTCTTGATGGTGTCCTTTGAAGCACAGAAGTTTTAAATTTTGATGGAGTCCAATTTATTTTTTTTTGGTTGCTTGTGTTTTTAGTGTCATTTCTGAGAAACCATTGCTTAACCCAAGGTTCATGAAGATTTATGCTTATGTTATCTTCTAGGAGTTTTGTACTTTTAGCTCTTACATTTAAGTCTGTGATTCATTTTAAGTTAATTTTTTTTTACATGTTGTGAGGTAGGGGGTCTTACTTCATTCTTTTTCATATGGATATCCAGTTGCCCCAGCACCATTAATTTAAAAGACTGTTCTTTCCCCATTGAATTGTTTCTTGGCACCCCTGTTGAATATAAACTGCCCATAAGTTTAAAGTTTTGTTTTGGACTCTTGGTTCTATTCCATTCCATATCTTTTAAAATGGCACATATGGCTCTGCAATTTACTGTGTGACCTTCCCAGTCAGTTAACTCTTTGTCCCTTCGTTTTCTCATCTGTAAAGTGAGTAACAAATAGTAAATACTTCATGGGATTAGTGTGAGGATTAAAGGAGATAATATATGGGAAGAGTTTAGAACAGTACGTGGCTTGAAGAAAGTACTTAGTAGCTAATTCCATCATTATAACCACCACCACTGTTGTCATCGTCGCCATCATCACCATCACTATAACACTTAAATGTTATTCTCTAACTTGTATGTGACTTATCTCCTTTGCTGGATTGTACGTTCTGAAATTAGATACCATGCTTAAAGAGTGAATGTGGTTGCTAAGAGTTATAGGACAGAGGGCCAATTCCTGAGAAATACTTGCATTTAGTCATCTTTATTCACAGTAGACTAAATGATTTTTTTCAAAGATGTACTTAAGGAAGATACTAGAGTCTTTGTTTTAGGATAGTTTGGAGTAAGGGGGTCAGCTGGAAAGTTCTGTAATTATTTAGGTGTTAAAGAAGTTCTGGAATTGGAGTCATGTATATGTGTTGCTTTTTAAAAAGCATATGTGTATCCTCAAATCCTAGTGTTCAGGCTCTGTGAGTCTTTTTCTAATTTTGTATGATGTTTAGTCTAATGTCCTTAGCATTGCATTTTAAAAGTGCCAAGCAACTGTTGGCCATTTTCATATTCTAGTTTAGTATCAATAATCACCCCCATTGAGTATTATGTGAAAAATATACTAGAGATCGTATCATAACTCATTCATTCTCTAAACTTTAGCCACCTTTATTTTAAGGTAAGTACGTATGTGTCTGGTAGTGATTTTGAGTGTTAGATGCTTAAAAAAGAACCCCAACTATCTCTTGCTCTCCTTCTCTTACATTCACGTTGTTCACATGTGATTGACATTTCCTCTATTCATTGCGAATTTGTGTAACAGGTGACAATGCTTATGACTGCTGTCAGATAGATCTCTGCCTTAGGTCATACTTGCTTCATTCCTAGGGTTCTTTATTAATCACATATATTTAATTTGTTGATTTGAAACCTCTTTTATCATAGTTATCAGTATCAACTTTCTAATAATTATGAATTGAAAGAACCAAGTCTTTTGGTAGCCTGTTCCTTTCAGTATACTTAAAGTTCTCTGATTTTTTTTTTTTTTTTTTGCGGTACGCGGGCCTTTCACTGTTGTGGCCTCTCCCTTGCGGAGCACAGGCTCCGGACGCGCAGGCTCAGCGGCCATGGCTCACGGGCCCAGCCGCTCCGCGGCATGTGGGATCTTCCCGGACCGGGGCACGAACCTGTGTCCCCTGCATCAGCAGGCAGACTCTCAACCACTGCACCACCAGGGAAGCCCTCTCTGATGTTTTAAAATTTATTTTCTTAGATATCTTTTTCCCTCTCTGGTGATGATTAATTAGTAGTTTTTCATGTATTTTTAAAATTTGATATGATTATTACTCCTAGATGTCATTTGTCAGAGTGAACCGTTACGGTCCCCGTGGAGGAGGAAGGAAAGCACTGAAAGTAAAGAAGAAGAAAATGTCAGTAAAGCAAGAATGGGATGTAAGTCTAGGTGGGATAATACATGGTATAACGTTACATGGAAGGAATAAATGTGATGACATGGCCTTAGTCACTCAGGATGGTGCTCTGAATGGGGCTTAGCATGCGATATGGTGGAATGGGTTTCTGGGCATGTTATTGGGTTGGCCAAAACGTTTGTTTCGTTTTAAGTAAAAATAAAAGACATTTTTCATTTTCACCAAGAGCTTTATTGAACAACGTATTCATTAACCGAATGAACTTTTTGGCCAATCCCATATCCTAGGTCTTGGAGGGAAGAGCAGATGCCTTTGGGGAATTTTTTAAAAATATGCATGTTGAAGCTATAGCTCTACCTCTTTTTAAGAACTGAAATCTTGGGGCTTCCCTGGTGGCGCAGTGGTTGAGAATCTGCCTACCAATGTAGGGGACACGGGTTCGAGCCCTGGTCTGGGAAGATCCCACATGCCGTGGAGCAACTAGGGCCGTGAGCCACAACTACTGAGCCTGTGCATCTGGAGCCTGTGCTCTGCAACAAGAGAGGCCGCAACAGTGAGAGGCCCGCGCACTGCGATGAAGAGTGGCCCCCGCTTGCCACAACTAGAGAAAGCCCTCGCACAGAAAGGAAGACCCAACACAGCCAAAAATAAATTAATTAAAAAAAGAAAAGAAGAGAAGGGATTTCCTTTCTCTTCTCTCCTTTAAAAAAAAAAAAAAACAAAAAAACCCTGAAATCTTAAGTGGGTGGGGAGTGTGTTTTTAAAAAGTCCCTCACCTCTACTTTGAGAACTCACTGCTTTAAGGCAACTCTAGTTAACCTGAAATCTGAAATTTTTGGGTACATATTTTAGATTTGCCCATAGCAATCTGTGATGTCATAATCATGTGAGTGGCATTTTTGACTGAAAAAGTGGGAGATCCTTGCTCTCTTACCCCTCAAATTGTTTTTTGCTCATCTCCAGAGATTTGTCAGTTTCAGTACAGAGGTTCTCGTAAGATGTAAGACAGGTCTCAGGTATCTGAGACATGATCCCTGGCTCCTACCCGGACTACCACTTGGTATTATCAAGGGGATTTTTATCTTTTGGAGTTGGGTACTTTGGTTTGGACCATGAGACTTTGGGTACTTTTACTTTCTGTTGTGAAGATTAACTGGTCAGGGACTAGTTTGGATCTTAGGGATTCTTTTGGACTTAGAACCTTCTGGGTTGTGGCCAGCCACCTTAGCCAGGTATCCTGGGCAAACTGACAACCTTAGAAAGTGGGGCAGGGGGATTTCTCTATGTTTAGATTGCTTTGTTGCCATGTGATTGGCTATAAAATAGTATAGGGATATGACTCTAAGGTAATGATACTGATTAAAAGGTGAAAAAATACACCTTAACATTTATGTTATCATAATGTTAACATTATGTTATCATGAAAAGATGATAACATAAGTTGTCCCCTTCAGAGTGGTTACTTTGGGAAGTTCCATATTTATTTTGCTATGCTGCTGTTGCTTAAAACATAATTGAAAACCATTATTTGAAATTGCATTCAGAACCTTCCTCATTTACTTTATATTATCTCCAGTGGTGGAAAAAACTTTGTTTTCTGAAGGTAGATGGAACTTGAAAGTAGTTATAGCTCATTTGGTGTGAATGGTAAATGAGGAAGGAGAGATCAACTGAATAATACTGTTTTGATGAAAATATTGAGGCATTTTCTGAAATGGCTTGTAAATTAGATTTAAAGGCAATTTCAGAAGAAAATACAGTTGACCCTTGAACAACATGGGGGTTAGGGGCACCGACCCTCTGCACAGTCGAAAATCCACGTATAACTTTACAGTTGGCCCTCTGTATCTGTGGATTTGCATCCATGGATTCAGCCAACTGTGGATTGTGTCACACTGTAGTATGTATTGAAAAATATCGACACATAAGTGGACCTGTGTTCAAACCCATGTTGTTCAAGAGTCACCTGTAGTTTTAAGCAATAGTAGTATAAATGAAATTATATTTTCTCCCATGAAAGCTAATTCCAATCATATCACTTATATGCCTAAATTTTTATTATGATTATTAAAAACAATTCTCGGGAATTCCCTCATGGTCCAGTGGTTGGGACTTGGCACTTTCACTGCTGAAGGCCCAGGTTCAATCCCTGGTCGGGGAACTAAGATCCCATAAGCCACATGGCGTGGCCAGGAAAACCCCCCAAAAAACAAAAAAAAAACAATTCTCATGATCTTACTGTTGTATCTTGTACTTTTCTAAATCAATATGGAAGGAATAACAGTTTTAGTATATAAAAGACTTGAGCTAAATACAAACTATGGCCCAAAGGTTAAGTCTCTGAATACATCAGAAGCTATTTCACTAGGCTCAGTTCTGTATATTTCTCTTAGAATTAAAAGTCTACATTGCTTTTTTCCCTGCCTTACCAAATCTGTATAACACAAATGGCTGAAGTCATTTTGGAAAGGACCAAATTGCAGGGCTGCTACTCAGAGCTGTGCAGGCTGTGCACTGCACAATTCCAAGGGGCACTATTTACATGGCCTGTGATATCAACGGAACCACCTGAGTTGTGCAATGTGGAAGCCCTGCCTTTTGGTTTAGTGCCTTTTTACTTGAGTGACTGTTTTCACATTTTATGAAATTATACAATACCCTCAAAATTTGTCTCTCATTAAGATAGGTTCTATGTTTAAGGTGTTGGCATGGGCACAAATTGAACCTCTACTTTTTGAATTATGTACTACCCGGTTGTTTTCATTATTTTAATATAACGTATGCTTGCTTGGTGAATTTGGTGCTTAATTTCTGTGAGACACTTAAAAATAGTCAGTTATTTTCTACAAGACACCTAAAAGTAATCCATGTTAATATTTAAATTGAGAATTTAATTCTCAAGGAAAGACTTTTTGGTCTCAGGATTTTGAATCCATTTTCAGCCATTAAAATTCAGCATATACTAATATTTTGTAAGAAACCTTTTGCTTTTTAAAGAAAGTTCATCCTTTTTTTTTTTTTGCAGAACACTGTAACTGATCTAACAGTTCATCGGGCAACTCCTGAAGATCTGGTAAGTTTACTATTGAAAGTTAAGTCGTTTGTTCATCATCTTATTTGATATTTGATACTTGATACTTCTAACCTACAGAATAGAAACCAGAGGCACTTCTTAGAAGTTGTTCAGTTATTTTTAATCTTGCTTATGCCTATATAAAATCAAAAAGTGTATGTCCTGGGCTTCTTTATTTTACTTAGGCATATCAGTTAGCATGCATTATAATTTCATTAGATAGGTTTGGTTTACAGTTCAAATCTCTCTAGTCCAGTATTTTCCTGTACACATTTATCGTCTTTTCCTATCTGTAGATATCACTAGCATTATTTACCATTACTTCCCTATACAAAAACATACATTATAATTTATTTCTTGAACATGCCATGTACATTTCCACATTTGAGCCCCAGTTCATGCTATCCTCTTTACTTGGAACAGTTTCCCTACCTTCTTCTCCTCCTCTACAAATCTTACTTTGCTTCCTTATCCTAGTTCAAGTTTTACTTTAAAAAAAAAAGCTTTTATTACAGGTTTGCTTGTTTTTTTAAACAGCTTTATTAAGATATAAATCACATAACATAAAATCTACCCTTTTAAAGTGTACAATTCATTGCTTTTTAATATATTCACAGAGTTATGCAACCGTCATCACTTTCTAATTTTATAACATTTTCATCACTCCCCCAAAAGTAACCCTTTACCCATTAACAGTCACTCTCTATGCCCCACCCCTCCAATCCCTGGCAACAACTAATCTGTTTTATGTCTCTATGGATTTGCCTATTCTGGACATTTCATATAAATGCAATATAATATGTATTCTTTTATATCTGGCTTCTTTCTTTTAACGTAATGTTTTCAAGGTTCATCCATGTTGTAGTATCGGTACTTCATTCCTTATTATTGCCAAATACTATTTTGTTTACGGATATACCATGTTTTATTTATCCATTTATCAGTTGTTGGACATTTGGGTTGTTTCTACTTTTTGACTGTTATAGATAATGCTGCTATGAATATTCATGTACAAGTTTTTGTGTGAACATACACTCTTAGTCTCTTGGGCGTATACCTGGAAGTAGAATTGCTGAGTCGTATGATATCTCTATATTTAACTTTCTGAGGAACTGCCAAACTGTTTTCTAAAGTGGCTGTACCATTTACATTCTTACCAGCATGTATGAGGGTTCCAGTTTTTCCACATCCCTTGCCAGCATTTGTCATTGTCATCTTTGTGGTTTTAGTTCCCTAGGGGGTATAAAGTGGGATCTCATTGTAGTTTTGATTTGCATTTCCCTAATGACTAATGACACTGAGTATCCTTTCATATATTTATTGGCCATTTGTAGTATCTTCTTTGGAGGAATGTCTCTTCAAGTCTCTTAGTTATTTAAAAATTTCCATAGAAAATATGTGACAACTATGAACTGGGCTTGATGAAGAGAGGGACACAAAAAGTAAAATAAAATAAAAATAAAATTGGATTATTTGTGTTTTTTTTGTTGAGTAGTAGGAGTTCTTTATATATTCTGGATATGTTTCTTATCAGATGTATGATTTGCAAATATTTTCTTCCATTCTGTTGGTTGTGTTTTAGCTTTCTTGATAGTATTCTTTGAAACGTAAAAGTTTTAAATTTTGATGAAGTCCAATTTATCTAATTGTTTTCTTTTGTCACTTGTAGCTTTAGTGTCATATCTAAGAAACCATTGTCTAACCAAGGTTCACAAATATTTACTTCTATGTTTTTGTCTAGGAGTTTTAAAGTTTTGGCTCTCATGTTTAGGCCTTTCATCCATTTTGAATTAATTTTTGTGTATGGTGTGAGGTAGGAGTCCAGCTTCATTCTTTTGCAAATGGATATCCAATTGTCTAAGCACCATTTATTAAAAAGACTGTTCTTTTCATATTGAATTGTCTTGGCACCCTTGTTGAAAATCAATTGTCTGTAAAGATAAGGGTTTACTTTGGACTCTCATTTCTATTCCACTGATCTGTATGTCTGTCATTATGCTAGTACCATACTCTCTTGATTATTGTAGTAAGTTTGAAGTCCTACTCTTTGAAGCTGCCTAACAGTTGCTTTCTTCTCTGAACTGTTGTACTTACTACCTACATAAGGCATTGAGTATATGCCATCTAATGCACGTCATTTATCTTTATATGCATAAGTCCAATCTCTCTGGGCAGATTATTAATGTTTTTGAGGGATAGAGGCTGTATCTTATACGTCTTTGTGGACCTAGGAATCTTAATCGTAGTAGGTACTCATTAAATGTTTGTTGAGGATAATAATGATGCCCAGATGACCTAAAATTTTTTATTATGAAAAATTTCTTATTATGAAAAATTTCAAACTCACGTGAAAATAGCGACAAAAGTATAAAGAACTCCCATATGCTGTTCACCTAGATATAATAGTTATGAAAATTTTGCCATACTTGTTTCATTTATCTTACCCTTTGCTTCTTCACTGGAGCATTTTAAAGCAAAGCCCAGAGGACATGTCATTTTGTGCCTACATATTCAGTTTGCATTAAAAAAAATAGATATTTTCATATATAACCACAATACCATTATCATGCCTGACAAAAGTAACACTAATATTTTGGTATTACCTAATCCCAATCCATATTCAGATTTCCCCGATTGTCTCAAAAATGTCATCTTCATTTGTTCTTTGTGAATCAGAATCCTTACATAATATTTGGTTGTTAGTCTCTTAATGGACTGATTTCATATTTACATGGTGCAAACTCAGTAGTACATTTTATCAGATGACATACAGGTTTTGTTCATATTCGTAGTTCTGAATACTAGAGTGCTTGTAAAGCCAACATCTGCTTTTGTTCCTTAGCCACCTTAGTGAACTCCTCCCTTCTAACTCTTAAGCTGTGACTCATATCTCTGCTTCTGCTTCTGGAATTCCACTTCCTTGGAGTCCTGCATCTCCATGGACCCACTTCCACATGCAGCCATTGCAGGGCTATAAAAACACTGCATTGTGAGCTCTTGGTGGTGATGTGAATATCATGGAATGGGTGTGCCTTTGCCAGAGATAACTCAGTGGATTTTGTGCCTTTTATGTCATACTCACTCTGTGTGTGTGTGTGTGTGTGTGTGTGTGTGTTTATAATTGTACATGTACACACATGTGTAACTGAAAAATTTAACAAACGAATTCTTTTTTTTTTTTTTAATTTATTTATTTATGGCTGTGTTGGGTCTTCATTTCTGTGCTAGGGCTTTCTCTAGTTGTGGCAAGCGGGGGTCACTCTTCATCGCGGTGCACGGGCTTCTCACTATCGCGGCCTCTCTTGTTGCGGAGCACAGGCTCCAGACGCGCAGGCTCAGTAATTGTGGCTCACGGGCCCAGTTGCTCCGCGGCACGTGGGATCTTCCCAGACCAGGGCTCGAACCCGTGTCCCCTGCATTGGCAGGCAGATTCCCAACCACTGAGCCACCAGGGAAGCCCCAACAAACAAATTCTTAACTTTTATTATGTGCAATGTGTTCTTAATATTTTCTATTCTATATTCTATTTTATTTTTTTAAATGTTGGTTTTGATCCACTAATTTATTTTACCACCCATTAAGTGAGTCCCAAGATGCAGTTTGCAAAACACTACTTTATTGGATAGTCTTGTACAAAAGAAGTAGAAATTAATATTCTTTCATTTTGTGTTTTAGCTAGGTCTACTAGTTTGTTTTATTTATTTATTTTTTGGCCATGCCACGTGGCTTGTGGGATCTCAGTACCCGACCAGGGATTAAACCCAGGCCACAGCAGTGAAAGCCCAGAATCCTACCCACTAGGCCACCAGGGAACTCCCTAGGTCTACTAGTTTTAGATACCTCTTTTTTAAAAAATCATTTTTGAAAAAAAAAATCATTTTTGAAAATTTAGGAGATGGTGAAAATTTTGTGAATATATATATATATAAAATATACATATATGGAACTAGAAAAAATTAGAAAAATGAACTAGGTTAGGTTGCCCTACCATCTGAATAGGCAAGTTCTTTGTTCCTGAAATTCTTTTATATATTTTTTCTTCCATAATAGATCCGTCGTCATGAAATACACAAATCGAAGAATAGAGCATTAGTACACTGGGAGCTCCAAGAAAAAGCTTTGAAGAGAAAATGGAAGAAGCAGAAACCGGAAATTTCTAATCTTGAGAAAAGGAGATTGTCTGTCATGAAGGAGGTAATGCTAAACTGCATCATCTGTAGAGTTAGAAAGAAAAGAAGAGGTAAATAGGTGTCTCTCTTTTTCCACGTATTTGATTCACATTGGACAGATTCTAATCATTATCGTGTCCTTACGCAATGATCTACAGGTAGACTTTGGAAAAAGGAGCAGAGTGACGATTACAGTCTAGTTTCGTGATTTGAATTCCCGCTCTTCAGCTTACTAGCCAGGTGACCTTAAATTGTTAACTTCTCAGCCTGAATTTTCTTATCTTTAAACTGGAGTAACAGTATTTACCTGATTGTATTGTTAGGAGATTTCAGTGATAAAATGTTACTAAAGTGATTAGGACAGTCCTTGGCACATAATTAGTGTCATATATATATATATATAAAGCTGCTATAATTATTTTTCTCAGTTCAGCAGTGATGCTGTTAGATTACTTTGCAAAAAGAAAAATGGGTGCTTGTCCAACAAATTAGTAAGGCACTTGTCTTTGACTTAATCTTTTGTCAGATGTAGGGTGTTTGAATAAGTAATCAGAGTGGGTAGGAATACATATTATGGAAAATAAGAAGAAACTACAGCAAAACCCTTCTTTTATTTGGGCTGAAATCATTGTAAAAGAAATGCCTGTTTTCTTCTTGTTCAGTGTTGGAGCTTATGGCACTTGGCTGTCTGGGTGACCTGCTGCAGCTTTAAGTCACATTCTGTCTTTTGAGGAATTTGTTAGGCTTCTTAGTGAAATATGAAAGTCATGACTTTATATATCATGAAGAAGAAGTATATCTCCCAAATAAATGTTTACATGAGCTTGTAAAAAGAACAGTGGATTGAGAGAATGGTTCTTTAGAGGTACGTATCTTTTGGTGATCTTAGGCAAGTCACCTACATTTAAATGTTACATGGTAATTCTCCATGAAAGGCCTAAGAGCACAGATCTGGCCAGGGAAAAAGGCAGCCCCTTTGAGGTGACTCTGGGCTTTAGTTTCCCCTCGCTAGTGGCCCCTGCTCATGTCCTGAATCCCTTATACCTTGTAGATGTGGTAGAATTAGGGATTGAAGAAGAGTGGTAAGAGAGGGTGAGTGAAATTTCTCTGCCTTCTTTCTGTAATGTGGCTTCTTCATGCCCTAGCGTAGTGTTTATCAACTCTGACTGATTCTAATTTCCATTTAAAAAATTCCCATTTGGGTTTCCCTGGTGGCGCAGTGGTTGAGAGTCCGCCTGCCGATGCAGGGGACACGGGTTCATGCCCCAGCCCGGGAAGATCCCACATGCCGTGGAGTGGCTGGGCCCGTGAGCCATGGCCGCTGAGCCTGCGCATCTGGAGCCTGTGCTCCGCAACGGGAGAGGCCACAACAGTGAGAGGCCTGCGTACTGAAAAAAAAAAAAAAAAAATTCCCATTAAAAAAAAAAAAACAGTATCTGGACTCAGACATATTTATGCTCAGGTATTCTAATTCAGTGGATCTGGGATGCAGCCCCACTTAGGTATTTTTAAGACAGTTGATATGTAATTTTTAATATTTTGCTAGGGTTGAGAACCTCTGCTATTAGTGGGATTTAGGCATTTCCATTTAACAACATATTTTGGAGGTTTTGCTGTGTCAGTATTTAGAAATCTACCTTTTCTTTTTTAATGGCCAGGTAGTATATGGATATACCACAATTTATCTAGTGCTTTATTAATGGACATTTGGGATGTGTATCAGAGCATGGTATAAGCACCTGGAAAAAAAAAAAGACCCCAGAATATACTGGTTTAAACAAAATAGAAATCTATTTCAGTTTTATGGAACAGCTCAGATATACATGGTAGTGGGTAGGGGGATCTCTGGTCCTTTATTACAGGGCTTCCATGTCTGAGTTTGCAGTGGCTGTTCCAGCTTCCTTCAGATGTTTCCCAGGCAGCATGAAGTGGGGAAGAGAATGCATGTTACTCCCTTTACGTATCACCCAGAAGCTCTGGCTTCTATCCCATTGTCCAGAACTTCATCAAGTGACCACTGTCACCTGCAAGGGTGGTTGGGAAATTAGCTATGTACTTGGCTAACTTGGGAGTTCTGCTGTTAAAGAGAAAACAGAAAGAAAGGCTATTGGTGGATAAGTAGCAGTGTCTGCCACCGACAGATTATTTCCTGCCTTGTCACTATAAATGATGTAATGAATATCCTTGAATATGTTTTTGAGTACATGTATAAATATATTTGTAGGATAAATTCTTAAAAGTGGAATTGCTGAGTCAAAGGATTCGTACATCTATTATTTCAGTGTTGCTATGTTTGTAATGTCTGTGATAAGGTATGTGAGGGGACCAAAGGAAGAGTCCTCCTTGGGCATATCCACCTAGGTTTTATCATTATGTGTTAGAGCTACCAGGACCCGTCCCCCAGAAGCTGGGCTCCTAGATAAACGTAAATTAAGAAAAAAGTTCTTTGACCAGCATAATCTTAGATTTCATTTGCTGTATGATCCACTCATGCCATAGGAATCAAGCAAATAAGAGTCCAAATCCAAATCAGAGAGAGGGTGGCTTTGATAAAGATTTTGTAAATTTTAAAAGTATATTAACTAACCTAGTCTCTTTGTACTTTCCCAATTCTGTCTGGTTTTCATTACCAGAGAGCAAAACTGCTAGCATGAGAAGTTTCTAATAATGTTTTTGAAGGGACCTTGACTGATCTTTTGAAAATCCAAGATGTATTCTTGGACTAAGTTTGGTTTTGTGCTCTGCAAACCCTGGGGAAGTAATATTATACAGATGGGCCTGCAGGGATTGATTTGCCTATCATGAGGATGAGTTTTATCATAGAGGAGTGATAAAGAAATCCAGAAAGAGCAACAGAAAGCCAATGCTCTGACCTCTGGCCACTCAAGCTGTCTGCCCCAAGGAGCCTGGGCAGGGACTAGCAGGGAGAGGGCTGCAGGGCAGTGGGTTTTCTGGAGACCTCATTATAATTAGTATCAGGTCTTGATATGATAAAATTATTCCTCCACAATCTGCTTCTTTCAATTTATATCTCTTCATTTGGATAGGAAGTCAGTACCTTTTTTAAAAATAGTAAACAAAACTGCTGCTAGGAAATATATTTTGTATAATTTTTCTAGTATAAATGGTAGATTATAGTGCTCCATTTACTTTCTCTCCTAAACTCTAATTGCATGTGCTACAAGATGGCTAACCAGGGATGAAAATTTAAGTTGTAACAACATTCTCAAATATCTCTAGAATTGTATACAGATTTAGTATACACTTTTGTATCTCTTGACAGGGCCTAGGATGCCAGTCTTCTGACTCCAAATGTGCTCTTTGTCCTGTGCCATTCCAAAACTAACTCTTTGTGGAGAGAACAGATTCAGGACTTTATTCTCACTAACAGAGCCAGCCAACCTGCTTGGCTTTAGCAGGGGAAGAAGGGGGAAAAAGTCAGAATGTGACTTTTGTTATTTTTCTTCATGTCCTAAAACAGTAACTGAGGTCACATTGTATGCTTGTTTCCATGGTCTAGAGAAATTCTGGTAAGAGCATTTGTTACCAGATGTTTTGATTTGAGTCAGTGTTGGAAACTGGAAAATTTCCAATTTTGAGACTCCTTTGAGCCTAAGAATGTGATCTGGTGGTGGTAGGTGTTGACTTGGTTTCACTCTAGCCCGTGCATCCTTGCTTGTAACTGGGAAAATTCCTAAGTTGAAAGTGTATAATCAGAGACACCGCCATATTGGTACTTTTTGAGTTCTCATTTTTCCAGAATAAAAATCGAGCTTGCTTATAAATGCAGAAGCATCACTTTTTTGTTTAATGCCCCCAAAGTCGTGTCTCACGTCGTGTTTTTTAAGTTGTGGGTCATGACCCATTAGTGGATTATGAAATCACTTTAGTGGCTGAAACACCAAAGAGCCACACATCTGAGTTTATGGCTCAAAGATTCATGTTTAATCAGTGTTTTTCAAACTGTGGATCACAACTTTTTAATGGATTGTAAAAGTTAGTGGGTTGCAACCATCATTTGAAAAAATAGAATAGAAACTAAAAAGAAAATATCAGAGTGGTTATCAAAGAGTAAGTTTAAGCAAAGCTTTTATTTTGGTGTTTGTCTACATTTGTGTGTGGACTGGGTCATAATTTAATAATGTATTTCTTTGGATCAAAGCCAAGCATTTGAAATCCACTAATTATTATAATAGCTCCATCTACTGGTACTTAATGATATTGCCGCTGAAGGATTTGAGATGATTTTTAAGCTCCTGCCTTTGTATGGACTTTTCCTTTGTGTTTTATTAAGTATATATATTTTTTCTGAATAATAATATTTATCACTAACATGTGTCTAGATTCTTAATGATCAATACCAGATGCAGGATGTATTGGAAAAATCTGATCATTTGATGGCTACAGCAAAAGATCTGTTTGTTGATTTTCCTCGTAGGCGCACAGGTAAAGTAGTCACATCAAACGAAAGTTTCTTTATCTTATTCATCAAAGCCCACACCTGGCTGTTTGAAAGAATTTAAAATCTTTTCTCAGGCATCATATTATTTCTATCACATGTGTTCTAGGGTGGATAGCATACAAGAGTTGTTAGACATAGATTTATTACAATTTATTTGCTTTTCACTAAGAATATTAACTATTACAAATTACTCAAGTTAAGGAAAGGTAAATTGTTATTATTTACTAAAATATTTTGTGAAATGTATAAGGTTTCATAATTTAAGGTATGATTTCATTTTCAGCTTATTAATATTAAATTACCATATAATTAAAGTATCTGCTTTGTATGTAATTTGAGTGAAGCTTAATTTGAAAACTAAAGCAACTTCAGTGTCTCTCTAAAAGGAACTTTGCCTCTTGTGGGATGCACAACATTATTCACTTTAATGTGTATATAATCTGTTGTTTATCTTAATCCCTAAAAACAGATCATTAGTTTTTAGTTTAAGGTTTGAATCCTGGCTTGGCCGCTCGCTAGTGTGACTCTGCGCCTGTTGCTTCACGTCTCTGAGTTTCAGTTTACCTATATGTAAAATAATGATACTAATAACCTCATAGGATTTTGTGAGGGTGAAACAATTTAATATATGTAAAAGCATTTAGAACAATGCCTGGCATATAGTAAGCACTGTTTAAGTGCAAGTTGCTTTTATTATTATTTAAGATTTTCATACGATAATTCAGATCTATGGCAGTGTATTATAGTATGTGTGAAGTCAATTTAATTAAATGAAACAAAGTCATCATGACTTACTTTCCTTCTGCAGGGTTTCCGAATGTAACAATGGCTCCTGATTCCTCTCAAGGTCCCATTGTGGTAAATCAAGACCCTGTCACCCAGGCCATCCTTAGTGAATCTGTTATTGAGCCTCAGGTAACGTGCTTTGCTCACAGCCATAATGCTCATGCTGAAATTCAGTTTAAGTTGATGTAGATAGGCATAGTGGTAAACATTTCAAAAGCTTTACTATCTAAATACCAAGTTGTGGTTGCTAGAATTGTTCTTACTCAAGCATAGTGCACTTTCTGTGAGTAATGCTCACAGATAGGACTAGATAATAATAGCTAACATTTATTGAGTGCTTACCTAGGAGGTAGTTACTATTATTATCCCCATTTAGCAGCTGGAAAAACTGAGGCTCAGAAAAATTAAGTAAGTTGTCCAAGGTCACATAGCTAGATAGCATGGGAGATGGCATTCAAATCTAGGCTGTCTGGCTCCATAAGACTGTGTCACCCAGAGATGTAGAGAACAAACGTATGGACACCAAGGGGGGAAGTTGGGGGGATGGTGGTGGTGGGATGAATTGGGAGATTGGGATTGACATGTATAGTATACACTAATATGTATAAAATAGATAACTAATAAGAACCTGCTGTGTAAAAAATAAATAAATAAAATTAAATAATAAAAAAAAGACTGTGCACCATCTACAAATATGGAAACAGCAAGAGAGTCTTTCCACGTCCCACTTTGGAGTCGGGTGAATCTATGTTCATATTCTGTCACTTACTAGTTGTTCGATGTTGAGTTGATCTCTCAAGGTATCTGAGTTGGCTCAGAGAGTTTTTTGTTAAATGGGAATAGAATATACCTGCTATGGTTGTTGTGAGGATCAGCTCAGATAGGTTATGTAAAGTGTTGAGCATAATACCAGATATTAGCTCTTCATTAAATCTTTGTCCCTTCTTTTTTTTTAAATAAATTTATTTATATTATTTATTTATTTTTGGCTGCTTTGGGTCTTCGTTCCTGCACGTGGGCTTTCTCTAGTTGCAGTGAGTGGGGGCTTCGTTGGGAGCTTCTCATTGCAGTGGCTTCTCTTGTTGCGGAGCATGGGTCCTAGAGCACACGGGCTTCAGTAGTTGTGGCACCGGTGCTCTAGAACACAGGCTCAGTAGGTGTGGCTCACGGGCTTAGTTACTCTGCGGCATGTGGGATCTTCCTGGACCAGGGATCGAACCCCTGTCCCCTGCATTGGCAGGTGGATTGTTAACCGCTGCGCCACCAGGGAAGCCCAAAAAGAATATTTTAGACTATATCTGAAAGTCAGTGAATTAGTTCTAATGTATTAGTAGGTTTAAAAAGCAGCTACCCAAGAAACTTTGAATTTATTGACTAGTTACATGGGAAAAGTATAGTAGTAAAACATTTATTAGCTGTATCTTAATCTAATTGGAACTCTTAATTAATCAAAATGTTTAGAATTTTGAGATAGGAAACATTTTTTAAAAGCCCATGAAGAATTTAATACTAAAATAAATCAACTTTTTAAGAATGACTAGGTCTCAGTACCCGTTTAATGCAATTTCCTAAGTTATTTGTATCTTTTATGAAAAAAAGGAGAATCATCAATTAGATGGATGATCCTAGGGAATTACAAGGTCCAGAATCATATAAATATACCGTTTTCTACTTATAAAGGCAATTAAGTAGAATGTTACACATACTTATAATAGCCAAAGTCCATTAGCCATATCCCTAGCCAAAAGCCATGTATGTTTTGGCACTTATTAAAAAGTTAGCTTTCTGGGCTTCCCTGGTGGCGCAGTGGTTGAGAGTCCGCCTGCCGATGCAGGGGACATGGGTTCGTGGCCCGGTCCAGGAAGATCCCACATGCCGTGGAGCGGCTAGGCCCGTGAGCCATGGCCGCTGAGCCTGCGTGTCCGGAGCCTGTGCTCCGCAATGGGAGAGGCCACAACAGTGAGAGGCCCAAGTACCACAAAGGAAAAAAAAAAAAAGTTAGCTTTCAAATGATCATGGTCTCTATGATGAAGGTTGGGAAGTGGCAAGAGGCAAGGTAAGAGAGACAAGAAGGAGCTGAGTCACAAAGGGCTAAGGAACCAGAAAGCAAAAGTAGAGCCACTAAAGGATTTTAAGAAGAGCACAGTCATGACGAAATTGACAGTAACGTGGAAGATGGATTGGGGAGGGAGAGACAAGACTGGTGAGTGGATCTGGTTAGAAGACTCACATTGGAATCTTAGCGTGAAGTGGTGAGGACTGACCCAAAGCAGTGGCAGTAGGGAAGGAGGTAGAGGGGAAGAGGGATAGATTTGAGAGATTAAGAAGGGATAGAATTGACAGGATTGGGTGATTGATTGGATGTGATGGATGAGGAAGAAGGATAATTTCCAGTTTGCTGGCTTGAGAACCTGAATAGATAGTGATGCTGTTTATGGTCTTGGTAACATGACAAGAACAAGGTTTCTGGAAGAATGATAGTAGAGGCTTAGGAAAATGATGAATTTTAGACATGTTGAGTATATGTGTGTAGGATGTTCTCCTAGGGATATCTTTTAGGCAGTTAGATATAAATGTTGAGGGCTCAAGAGAGATCTGAGTGAAGCTAGAAATTTGGAAATTAACAGCATTTGGCTCGTAATTGCACCTTGGAATTAGATATAATCATACAGAAAATGAGTCAGATGAGAGGAGAAAAGGTCCAAAGGGAGAACCTTCAGTGACATCAGAAAAAGGGAAGGGTAGGAAAAGAACCAATAAAGGAGATTGGGAAGGAATGGCCAAAAGAAGAAAAACCAAGAAAATATGGTATCATGGAAGTGGAAAAGAAAAGTTTATCTTCCTCAAAAGAAGATTTTGAGGGAAAGAAATGAGTGGTCATTGATGTCTAATGAGTCAGAAGTAAGGGAAAGCAAAGACAGAAATATCCATTTGATTTGGGAGCAGGTGTGTTGATGTTGACCACGTAGAGAACAGCTTAAATGGGGTGGCAGGGCAGAAGCAAAGTTGCAGGGCATAAATGGTGAATGAGAAGTGGTGGGCAGCTTTTTCAAGAAGTTTGTTGCACAGAAAGAGTAGATGGTAGCTCGAGGTGAGTATAGGGTATGGATAAGATGGCAAAGACTTAGATTTAAATGTGGATGAGCTGAAGCCAGTAAGGAGAAGTTGAAGATGCAGGAGAGAGAAGCGGCAATTGATGGACTAGAAGGAGGTAAGAGGGTTTGGGTTCTAGACCACATGTGGAGGGATTAGCCTTAGAAGGAGGGATCTCTCTTCTGTTATGACAAAAAGAAAGGATGAGTGTGTATATAACCAACCTGTGTTATTATTTTATTGTTGTGTTGATAAAGGCTCTTAATGAAGTAGATGATGACCAACGAGAAGGAACTGTTAACAGCCAGTCAGAAGAAAGTGAGAATGAGTTGGATAACTCTCTAAGCTCTCAGTCAAACACAAATGCGGACACGTAAGTATAGATGGCATAAGTATCTAAGATGCTTCCCTTTTTCCCAAGGCCATTTCTTCCCCCACCCCTACTTTATTGAGATATAATTGACATATAATGTTGTATAAGTTTATAAGGCATACAACATGTTGATTTGATATACTTATATACTGCAAAATGGTTACCATCATAGCATTAAGTGATGGATGGTTAATACCTCCGTCACATCATATGATTACCATTTCTTTTTTGTGGTGAAAACATTTAAGATCTTCTCACTTAGCAACTTGCAAGTATAAAATAAAATATTATTAGCTATAATCACAAGAAGTTATTCATCTTATAACTGGAAATTTGTACCCTTTTACCATCTTCCCATTTGCTCCACCTCCCAGCCCCTGGTAACCACCACTCTGTTTCTATGAGTTTAGCTTTTTTATTATATATTTTTTAGTTTTTTAAAAATTGTTTTATTTATTTTTTTTGGCTGCATTGGGTCTTCGTTGCTGCATGGGCTTTTCCTAGTTGCAGTGAGTGGGGGCTACTGTTTGTTGTGGTGCACAGGCTTCTCATTGTGGTGGCTTCTTGTTGCAGAGCACGGGCTCTAGGCTTGTGGGCTTCAGTAGTTGCAGCACGCAGGCTCAGTAGTTGTGGCGCATGGGCTCAGTAGTTGTGGCTCACAGGCTCTAGAGTGCAGGCTCAGTAGTTGTGGCGCATGGGCTTAGTTGCTCTGCGGCGTGTGGGATCTTTCTGGACCAGGGCTCAAACCCGTGTCCCCCTGCATTGGCAGGCGGATTCTTAACCACTGCGCCACCAGGGAAGTCCCCTCAGCTTTTTTAGATTCCACGTATAAGTGATATCATACAGTATTTGTCTTTCTTTGCCTCACTTGTATTTCTCAATGTAATATCTTCCAGGTTCATCCATGTTGTCACAAATGGCATGATTTCCTTCTTTCTCATGGCTGAATAATATCTCACTGTATATGTATACAGTGGAATATGATACGTATCTATGTATCTCAATCACATCTTCTTCATCCATTCATATGTTGACATATACTTAGGTTGTTTCCATATCTTGGTTATTGTGAATAGTGCTGCAGTTAACATGGGGGTGCAGATATCTCTCTGAGATCCTGTTTTCATTTCCTTTTGATATATACCCTGAAGTGGGAATCCTGGATCATATGGTAGTTATATTTTTAATTTTTTGAGGAACTTCCACACTGTTTTCCATAATGGCTGTACCAATTAACAATGCCACCAACAGTGCACAAAGGTTCTCTTTTCTCCACATTCTCATTAACACTTGTTATCTCTTGACTTTTTGATGATAGCCATTCTTATTATAGATGTGAAGAGATACCTTATTGTGGGTTTGTTTTTTTAATCATTTTTATGTGTTTGTTTTATGTTTGCTTTTTTTAGTTTGCTTTCTGTTTTTGTTTTGTTTTTATTGTTTGTTTTTTTCGGGTTCTTTTGTTTGGTTCTCTTGTTTTTTGTTTTCTTTGTTTTTTTACTTTTGTTTGGTTTTGCTTTTATGGTGGCTTTGATTTTCATTTCCCTTATGATTAGTGATGTCAGGCACCTTTTCGTGTATGTGCTTGTTGGCTATTTGTACGTCATCTTTGGAAAAATGTCTTTTCAGTTCCTCTGCCCATTTTTTTTATTGGATTGTTTGGCTTTTTTGCTATTAAGTTGTATGAGTTCTTTATGTATTTTGGATATTAACCCCTAATTAAATATAGGATTTGCAAATATTTTCTCCCATTCCATAGATTGCCTCTTCATTCTGTTGATTGTTTCTTTTGCTGTGCAGAAGCTTTTTGGTTTCCTGTAGTTCCAGTTATTTTTTTTTGCTTGTGCTTTTGGTGTCAGATCCAAAAAATTGTTGCCAAGATCAATGTCAATGAGCTTCCTCTATGTTTTCTTCTAGGATTTTTACCATTTCAGGTCTAATGTTTAAGTCTTTAATCCATTTTGAGTTAATTTTTGTGAGTGGTGTAATGTAGGGGTCCAATTTCATTCTTTTGCACATCTTTATCCAGTTTTTGCAATGCTATATGTGTGTGTATATATATATATATACACACACACACAAGTATTTAAGTTGTTTCCAATATTTTTCAATTAAAAAATGCTGCAGTGAATAACTTAGATGCATATGTATTTTTGTATGGTTGAAGGTGTGTATTTAGAGTAAATTACTAGAAGTGGGATTTTGGGATTAAAAGGTAAATGCTATGTAATTTTTTTCTAAAATTACTGAATTCTGCTTTATGAGGGTTGTAGTATTTTGCACTCCTACTGGCAACTTACAAGAGTGTCTGCACCAGAGTGTGTTGTCAGACTCCTCTGCTGATTTCATAGGAGAGAAATGTTATCTCAGTGTAGTTTTACTTTGCCTTTGTAAGTGAAATTGATAATTTTGTCATATATTTAAGGGACATTACAGTGAATTGTCTATTCATGTCTTTTGCCAATTTTGCTTTTAGGGTTTTGATCCTTTTTTTATTAATTTGTAAGCATTCTTTACATATTAAGGATATTAGTCTTTTACCTGTGTAATATGTTATATTTTCTCCCAATTCGTTGTCTTTTGAATTTCTTTAACAAGTAAAAGATTTAAGAATATATATATAGTGCTCGCTTTGGCAGCACATATGCTAAAACTGGAACAATACAGAGAAAATAAGCATGGCCCCTTTGCAAGGGTGACACACAAATTTGTGATGCATTCCATGTTTAAAAAAAAAGAATATAGGGCTTCCCTGGTGGCGCAGTGGTTGAGAGTCTGCCTGCTGATGCAGGGGACACGGGTTCGTGCCCCGGTCCAGGAAGATCCCACATGCCGTGGAGCGGCTGGGCCTGTGAGCCATGGCCGCTGAGCCTGCGCGTCCGGAGCCTGTGCTCCGCAACGGGAGAGGCCACAACAGTGAGAGGCCCGCGTACCGCAAAAAAAAACAAAAACAAAAACAAAACAACAGCAACAACAAAAAAGAATTTATATATAGTTTGAATTTATCATTCATTGCTTTTACATGTGGATCTTGAATCATACTCTGAAATTCTTTCCTAAAACTGATTTTAGAGGAATTCACTCATGTTTCTTCTGATACTTCTGTGGTTTTATTTTTTATTTAGTTCTCTGATCCATTGAAAGTTTATTTTGGTATGTGGTATGAGGTATGGCTCTGCTTCTTATCTTTTCCTAAGTTGGTATCCAGTTGCCCCAGCACCATTTATTACTGCCCCACTGATCTGAGATTCTGCCTGCATACGTTAATTACCGTGTGTACCTGGATCTACTTCTGAATTTTCTAGTCCACTGGCCTTGTTTCTGTAGTCATGCTCCAATACCACACTGTTTGTTTTTTTGGTTTTTTTTGCGGTACACAGGCCTCTTACTGTCGTGGCCTCTCCCGTTGCGGAGCACAGGCTCCGGACACGCAGGCTCAGCGGCCATGGCTCATGGGCCCAGCTGCTCCGCGGCATGTGGGATCTTCCTGTACCGGGGCACGAAGCTGTGTCCCCTGCATCAGCAGGCGGACTCTCAACCACTGCGCCACCAGGGAAGCCCACCACACTGTTTTAATTAGAGTTTATATTGTTTTAATAGACTTCCCTCCTAGCCTTTTCCAGTTCAGAGTTTTCATAATGATTGTTACATGTTTATTCTTCTGTATGAATTTAGTGTCAACTTATTTAGCATCATAAAAAAGTTTATTGATATTTTTGTTATATTAATAAATTAACTAGAGAGACCTGACATCTTTATTATGCTGGGTTTTACTATCCAAGAACAAAGGATGTTTTTCAATTTGTTAATGTCTACCTTTTTGTTTTTGAGGAGTATTTTAATGTTTTTTTCATATAGGTTTCCTCATTTCTTGTTAAAATTATTCCTATTTTTGTTGTTGGTTACTATTTTATTTTATTATATATTAATTTATTTTTTGAGAGAAGGAAGGATTTATTATTACTTGCAGCAAGTAAGATGAACTCGGGGGATATTTCCCAAAGCAGTGTCTCCCCAAACAGTAAAATTGGGGAAGTTTTAAGCTAAGAGTACGTGCATATTCATGAAGAGGCTTGAGCAGAGGAGAATTCAGCATAGAATTGGGACAAATGTTGGCAGAGTCCAAGCTTTAGTTGATTGAAGTCAGGAGGGTCAACATCATCATTCCATCTTCCACCTAGGTGGGGGCCTTAGTTCCTGCAGAGCTCAAAAACTGTATCAGATTGTTATGTATATCCCTTGAGGAGCAATTAGCACTCGTTTTATTGCTGAACTTTTGTTTCTTGACTGCGTTTTCTTTGTTACTGAATTCCCTTACTTCCCTTAAGATCATTAACTACCGAGACTGGTTCAAGGGCAAGAATTGTGGTCAGGCTTAGATCACAAAATGGCTTAGGCCAAAAGTGGCTTCTCTCTCTCTCTCTCTTTTTTTTTTTTTTGCGGTACGCAGGCCTCTCACTGTTGTGGCTTCTCCCATTGTGGAGCACAGGCTCCGGATGCACAGGCTCAGCGGCCATGGCTCACGGGCCCAGCCGCTGCGTGGCATGTGGGATCTTCCCGG